CATCAATACTGGCATCAAGCTACCTGTAGATCTACAAATACAACAATTATACAATATTGCCTTAATTGAATACATCAAACTAAGGCTGTGCCATATAGTTCAGAGCTTTACAGATTCATTCATAACACGCATGAAGGTTGTGATTGGAAATCAGAAGAGTTATTCAACCAAATATTGATGCCTCAACTCTTCCTAAGTTAAAACATTGGGATTGTGTTGTTGGAAAATTGATTTAAACATATTTTTTCTTCTTTGTTATTTAGACTGATTGTCATTTTCTGCACATAAATGACCTAATTGAAAAAAAATGTGTTTAGATTTGGGATAAATGTTGTCAGAAGTTGACAGAATAAAATGAAAAAAATGAAAATGTCAATAAACCACATACTGTATATCTGTAAACAGTTAAAACAGAGAAACTGATCATTTTAGAGAGGTGTCTTATTTTTTTTCAGAGCTGCGAAATAAGATATTGTCCCTTATTTCTTGCAGCGTACTCGCTCTATGAAGGTATCACTTCATAGTCAGCCAACAAAACTCTTTCAACGTATCGGAAAAATCTCATCTAAAGAATATAAATGACTATTGAAGGAGAGTCTCATCTATTGATACCAACTTCAGATACTTGATGTTACGGACACATTTTGTTCGGTACAAAAAATGATGATACCCACCTGTTCACATAATAACATAACAGATTTTTTGGGCCACTTGGGGGTAGCAGAAACGAGTTTAACACAAGACTGATATATCATCACCTTTGTATCCATCTGATAAATGTAGGTCCAAAATTCTATCCTTTTTTTGCTTTGTCTTTGGTCTCCAACAACTCCTGAGGGTAATATCTGTCTCGTTAGCTTCTAAATGCTTGACTCTCATCACCAACCCGTCTTCAACTGTGTCATGTTGCTCTTTGCTACGATGCAGATAGTGTACAGGGGATTTTTGCAGTCAACCAGTCATGCTACTAGGATTGTGGCCTGTAGAAACTGTGTAATATTATCATATGCACAATTATAGTGGGATATTAGTTTGCATGTTCACTAAGCCCCTGTTTCCTTATAAAACAGCCTTAAGCAGCAGTATTTTGCTCACCAGACCTTTACATCTGACAAGCTGTCAGAAACACCACTTTACATACAATCAGACTGGCAGCTGCTGTTGCCATGGGGACGATGTGTGCCTCTGATTGTCTGAGTAGTGCACTTTGCCTGAGCGCACAAGCAAGGCCGACGGCTGATTTGGGGGTATTCATGTGAGCCGTTACGCAGCAATTACCTCCATCAGGACTGGGGTCCTTGTTGTTGTGAGACTTCTCCGTGAAACCTGGAATTGCTTCTGCCCATTCATCATGAGACAATACAGCCTTTTATTCCTCATCGGAGGAGAGTATTATTCCTCATCAGAGGAGAGTATTGTTCCTCCGAATGGGAAATCTGCGTGGCCTCTCCGGTTTACTCCGGATGAGATAGAAACTGGAGAAAAGGCCTGCACATGATGCCAGTCCGACCTCTGAGGGGGGCGTTCATTGACGCGTAACAGACACGAGAATTTAGACATTGACGCTTCTGTCATGCTTTTTGTTTTTTATTCTCTCACCTCAGCTGAATAATAATAATAATGTTATTAATTATTTGAGCTATTAGCTCTGAACAGGGTTATCCGTGTGTTAAAATATAAGCAGGAAGCGGCTCTACCTCTGCCTGAACAGAGAAAATTAGATGTAAATTATTAGCAAATTTGGCTTCTTGCATTTTAAAGTCTGTGATGTATATTATAGGTCTAGATTTTAATCCCAGGGTGAACTTTAGGATTTTTTTGAGTCAAAGTAAATACCACCTAACTTAAGATGTCTTGCTCTTTGTCTGTGTCAATATTTTTCTATGTGACAGCAGAAATTGATAATGAACCCATAAAACACACAGATTTCGATACTTGGCACTGCAATGATGTGGTTTCTTAACAAAAGCTACGATTACATTTGTTTTCCACCCAAAGTGATGGTTTTTCTTATTTGCAAAGCCTTTTAGGGAATATATTTTAAATTATTTTTGTTCAAAACTTAAAATGTCCAAGATGTTGATCCAACTTTGCAAAGTGAAGTAATCATTGACAAAGAAAAAACACATTTCTCCTGGTTTATTTTCTTGTAAATATGTGACTCTAATGTCTCAGTTATTTCTCTTAAATGTGAAACTTCATAATATCAGAAAAGAGTTCAAGCACCAACCAACAGAACCACTAGAGTGAAAACCTTCAGAGGGTTCCTTTAAGCATCAATTACAGTATCTCTTATATTTGAAATATTACTACTGATGCAAAACTGTGTAATGGAAGACACTTTGGTTTTAAGAGATGTTTTGGTTTTAAGAGATTTTTAACCTGCAGGTTCACTGTGTTCTGATTTTATAGACCAGTTCATAATGAAAACTGTTATAGCTGAGAAAAAAACAAAAACGGTGAAAGCCAAAAGCCCCACAGGAGCCCTGATGTTCTGCAGCATCATACTACTCTTGAGTTTGAAGCCAGGTACTTGCACAACAAAATCTAAAAAATAATAAAATAAATTTCCTCTAGCAGCCACTGTCTCATTTCCATTTCACTGTTTGCTTTTCGGATGAAAGATGTGCATCTGGTGTGACCTCACAGATCTTCCTCTTCTTCTATCCATCACGAGATTCATCATGGTGGAAACGGTCCAGTTAAAGGAGCAGCGGGTTCACCAAATTTGCATCCTTTAATACTGTCCAACAATCACTTTAATCCAACTATTTTTATATTTGTAGACAGGATATTGATAAAATGACCACTACCTTCTCCTCGTAATGCCACAGCTGCACTTGTGATTTTATATTGTATTTCTACTGTTAAATCAGAGCCAGCAGCAACACCACCTCCCTGAAATACAGCTTCCTCCGATGAATCCAGTAAGTTTCATAGCCCAAGGACATGAAATGAAATGTAATCCATGTCCAAATATAGTGATACTCTCTTTCTCTCACAGCCTCATGACATTTTCCACTGCTCTGTATTTGTTTAATTTATTCTGTGTTTGTTGCCCTAATTTACATTTCCTGCATGTTCTATTAATGGCACAGAAACTTTGTGAATCGCATATATTTATACAAATATATCTGGGGAAAAAAATGTAGTACACTGTTCAGGTTTGGAAAGCACATTTACCTGCATGGTACACACAACAGGTAACTACTTTGTTGCAGGTATGAGATACTAATTATAGATTTAAATGTAAAACACAGCTTCTGCTAACCCTCGATTTATGCAATCCCACACACGCACAAGTATAACAACTCACAAGGTGAAGCAGGTTATATACATTTCCAACACATCAAAGGTGCATTCGTAATTATCAAACTCATTGGTCATTTTAGTTTAATACAAATGAATAAAAACATAGTTTTTTAGTGTTTGCAAATATTTTTGAATTAAAGCTCCGTACCTGTGTGCAGGCTGATCCAGTGTCTCAGAGCAGGAAGGTCTCCGTCCTCCGCTGCTTCATCACACTGATGCTGATACTGATGATGATGAGGATGATGAAGAGGATGATGATGATGATGATGATGATGCTGTTGTGGGCGACAGGCGGCGGGGCTCCCGGTTAAGTTGCCTTCAGTGTCGAAGTGTTCTGAGTGTGCGCAGTGGAGCTGCAACGGTGCTGCGTTCAAGGACTGTTTTTAAATGTTGGGATTTAAGGTTTATTATCAGTGGTGGAAGAAATGCTCAAATATTTTACTTGTTACAGTAAAAAAATAAACTAACAGTAATTTGGAAAAATGGTCCATTTCCAAATAATGTATATTATATAATTGGACTATGATAATTATGCTTTGACATATTTATTTTAGAGCTATATATTCATAAATTAATTATTGTATTTTAAACATGGGCTTTTAATTTGCATTAGTTTAATATAAACATATAGCATACATTAATATTATATTACATATTTCATTATTCTAATATTTATTTTTATATTTATTTTACTGTAATTAATCCTAACTAGAAGAAGTACGCCCGGATAAAGCTATCAAATACATGTAGTGAAGTGAAGTAGAAGTTTTAGGTAGCATAATAAATATAAATACCCAAGTTAAGTTCTGAATCTTTAATTGGTGAGCGATAAGCTTATTTTATTCATTCATCTCGTTGCTTGATGAAAGCCATTTCTGACAAGTCTTCAGAAAAGATGTTGCAGCGTCAACTTTATTTCCCCGAGGAAGAGGATTAATTCAAGTCACAGTTATCGTTAAAGTTTAAGATTTACCAGGAGCATTTTAAGGCAGCACGTTATCAGAGTTTGAACAGGTTTTGACGTTTTGACCGAGCAGCTGCCGGTTGATTTTGAAATGTCTAACGTTGTAAGCAGTTAGCTGAACTTGTCAGGTAATTTTACACATTTTATACGCTAAAACCTGAACTCACAGAGAGACCTAATAACCTCTCTTTTTTCTACGAGCCTGTTTATTGATATAACATATAGGTAAGTTAGTAAAACGTGCTGTCATATTAGATATCAAACGGCAACAAAGCAAATGTTAGCATTGCTATGCTCTTATGCTCTTTGTGCTAGCGTTAACGTCAATAAAACAAGCTAAGATGGAGCTAATTCCCTTTTTAGTTTATCCCAAGAAAAGAGTGCCAGTGATGGTATAGCTGTGAGGTGTGTCTCCCTCTAGTGAGCGAATATATGTATATACTACTTCATATGAATATGCCTGTAGTCGTGACGAAACGTTGAGTAAAATCGTCATAATATTACATTATAACCTCCCCAAGACAAAATCATGTTACTTACAGCATTTGAGTAGATCCTTAGTTACCTTCCATAATTACTGTTCAAAAGTATCTGTTAATTTTACATTTCGTTGGTGGTGTTGAGTATAACTAAAATGTGACCTATTTTAGTAGATCACACGAAACAGAATAAACAGGAATATAACTAACAAGCGTCAGCCAACAGGTGTACATATAATAATATTTATTTATTGTGTATAACTTTGCAAACATGTTACATCAGAATTCATGGATTCATTAAAAGCTATTTACACTGCTAGTTTAAGATTCCCACGTTGTACAGTGATATTGAAAGATACCAAACTCTGGATATATTTTACTGTAGCAAATTAGGTTGTAAGCAAAATATTAATAAAAAATATAGTTTGTAGCAGTACACTTGGTGTTTTTGATCATAAGCGTTTCATTTCAGCTTTGCAATGCTACTGTCTCTTTACGTTTCAGCCACAGCAACAAGAATATCCTGCAGATACATGTACATAATTTTTTTTTGTCATATTGCCTACTGCCCATAATATTGTAGGTGTTTTTAACTGTCAACATTACAGAGAAATTATTGTAAACATATTTTGGAATGTCAGTAACATCAATTTTGTTCAGATAAACAGTTTTTAAATCAAATGCATCATTGATTATCATCCGATAAATAAGTGCACAAGTACTTTGGATCAGTTGTTGTACATTTAAAACTATGAAACCACAAATATATTATACGTTTTGAGAAGCAAAACACATGGCTTACTTTAGTTTTGTACCACAATAAGCAAGGATATTTGGTGAAGTCCTTTCATAAATTGAAGTAAAAGCACTGAATTATAGAGCTTATTAACAACTAAATCACATTGTCTGTACATTTAATTAATCCATCTCTTTATAGGTCAACAACATGCTACCAGAGATTGAAGTTAACTCCTGAACACTGATCATTTCCTATGATTGGTAAGTTACATTTGCTAACAGTCTTTTGCAGTTGCCAAACCTGTTTTCTATCTCGCTTTCTGTGACAGTGATATTCAAAAGCCCACCAGCCACTGAGGCGGGATAATAAGGGTTTGTATCTTCTGACATAATTTACATAAAGTCATTTCACTCATCGGCTCCATCAAAGAACCTCATTTTATCGGAGTGCATAGAGTCTTTCAGTCGTTGAATGGATGAAGCTGTCTCAGAAGAGTCAAACGTACGTGTGATTTGTTGAGTTATAACGATTGTTTCTTTGCTTTCACTTGATGTTTCCTTAACTAAATGCCTCTCGTATACCGTTCTCTTGCCGCTTTCCGGTTCTTCGACAGTCCAGGATGCAGCTTTGTAAGCCTCTGGTTCTAGGGGAAGGCCTCCTGCTGATTGGATTTGGAAATCAGTTAGCAGTTTGGCATACTGTGATTCTGGTGTCGCTTGTATATTTGATGTGAAGACATGTAATTTTCCTGAATCCAGTCTGAGCGTGTCTTCCGATGAAGAAGAAGCTCCAGACGACAAAATTGTGATTTTCTCAGGCAATTTCGGCTCAACCGAGATAATCTCAGTCCTTGTGGTAGAAGTAATAACGTTACTATGCATCTCACCAAGACCTGAAGCAACGTTGGGATCAGAGAACTTGACTGTGACCACCTTTGTTGGAGATGATAAGGACAGGCCAAGATGCTCACTAGTCATTGCAGAGCTAATATCAGCAAAGGCGTCTGATGACTGGACTGAAGACGTGGGACTTATTTCCTCATCCGATGTTTCCCCTACTGGGCTCTTTTCATCCTTCTGCTCCTCTTTTTCAACGGTCTTGGCAGGCTCTGATGGGGAGGACAGTCCAAACCTGGGGAATTTAAGCCAACTTGTCCTCTCAGGACTTTTAGTAGTATCTTGCTTTGTTTCTTTTTCCTTTGCCTCTGGCTGCTTTCCATTTGGTTCCACTGTTTCTTGAACTTCCTTTAAAGTTTCAAGTTGTTCTTCAGATTTTGCAGCATCAATTTCAACATCCAAATTCCTGATGATCTCACCAAATGATGTCAAAGTAACTTTTTGTGATTTACTCTCTCCTTTTGGATCAACTTCAATTTTCAGCTGATCTTCTTTGGATTCAGTGTCAACTGGAACATGTTCACCTTCAGCGTTGGGTCTTGAAAAGCTCAGCTTTGGCAGTTTAAATGATGGTAATTTAAATTTACTTGGAGATCCAAGATCAACGCTGCCAGCCTCATCCGTTTTAATATCAACACTTGGACCTTTGATGATGAGAGTAATGTCCTCCTTATGTTTAGCCCCATCCGTTTCATCTACTTTGTCTGAATCCGGTGCTTTTACAGTGACATCATGGGTAGCAACTTCGAATTTCGGCATTTTCAATGTTGGCATTTTAAATTTTAATGGCAATCCTCCAAAACCTTTTGACTGAGCTTCAATCTCAGAATCTTTCATTTCCACACTGGCTGAATATTCTTTGGCTTCAATATCTGGAAGTGTGACTTTGGCTTTAACATCTGTCACAGTGATATCTACGTCTTTCTGTGATGCATTGATATCTTCGGATCCTTTTATCTTTGGTAGAGCAATGCCAAACTTTGGTAATTTAAATGTGCTTCCTTGTCCATCATGTTCAGCTTCAAGCTCAGGAGCTTTTATTTTCATTTCAGGTTGCTTGACTATCACTTCTCCTTCCGAAAGAGAAACATCAACATGTGGTAGCTCAGCACTTACCGTGGGTTCTTTAACACTTGACTTCGAAAAAGAAAATCTGGGTAGGGAAAACTGTCTTTTTTTCAAGTTTGGATCAAGTTCTGCAGCAGGAGGCTCTTCTATTGAAACGGCCCCTGATAGTCCTCCTTGGACTTCTGCTTCTGCCTTTGGTAATGTGACATCCACTTTGGGTGTTTCAGGTTCATCGTCAGAGGCTTTACCAGCTGACCTTGAAAATGAAAATCTTGGAAATGCCCATGTTGCTTGTTTTTTGGTATCAATGTCAACTGCCGGTTCATCTGGCACTGAAATGACACCTTCAGTTTCTTTGGCTTCAGCTTTAGTTTCAGGTAAAATTACATCTACATCTTTCTTTGATAAACTTATATCAATGTCAGGCTGCTTGACTTGAGGCCCAGAAAAACCGAAACTCGGTAGTTTAAACTTGCTTCCTTTTCCTTCATGTTCAGTTCCTGTAGTTTTAATATCGATTGATGGGCCTTCAGTGTCAATACTTGGCGCTGTGATGTGAACTGAAAGCACTTCTTCCGGACTGTTAATGTCTGTATTGGGCCCTTCTACTGTAGCACTTGGAGTACTAACTCCGAATTTCGGTAATTTGAATGCGGGCATCTTATATTTAGATGGTGATCCTTCAACATTACTTGTCTGGACATCAATTTTAGGAGCTTTAATTTCCACTTTAGCAGAAGATTCCTTTAGTTCAACATGAGGGAGTTTGACTCCAGCTTTGGCTTCTGGTAAAGTAACATCTCCCTCAACCTTTGATAAGCTTAAATCAATGTCAGGTCGTTTGTTTTGAGGCCCAGAAAAGCCGAAACTTGGTAGTTTAAACTTGCTTTCTTTTCCTTCATGTTTAGTTCCTGTAGCCTTAATATCTATTGATGGGCCTTCAATGTCAAGGCTGGTTTTTGCTATGTGAACTGCAAGATCCTCTTCAGGAATTTCAGCTCCATCAAGTTTGAAGTCAGTCTCAGGCACTTTTACGGTAGCACTTGGAGTACCAACTCCAAACTTTGGTAACTTAAATGTTGGCATTGTATATTTTGATGGCGATCCTTCTGTACCCTGTGTTGCAATCTTGATCTCAGGACCTTTAATTTCCACTTCAGTGGAAGGGTCTTTCAGTCCAGCTTCAGGAAGTTTGACTTCAGCCTTGGCTCCTGGTAGAATCACATCTACGTCTTTTTTTGATAAGCTTAAATCAATGCCAGGCCGTTTGGTTTGAGGACCAGAAAAGCCAAGACTTGGCAGTTTAAACTTGCTGCCTTTTACTTCATGTTTTATTGATTGGCCTTCAGTGTCAAGGCTGGGTGCTGTGATGTGAACTGCAAGAACCTTTTCAGGAATTGTTATGTCAGTTCCATCAATTTTGATGTCTTTGTCTGTATCGGGCACTTCAACCGAGGCAATTGGAATACCGACTCCAAATGTTGGTAAATTGAATGTAGGCATCTTCAATTTTGATGGTGATCCTTCAGTATTCATTGTTGCAGCTTTTATTTCAACTTCAGGTCCTTTGACTTCAACATTGGGCAGGTTAATTTCAGCTTTAGTTTCAGGTAATGTCAGTTCAAAATCTTTCTTTGATACACTTGAATCAAATTCAGGTCCTTTTACTTTGGGCATTGAGATGCCAAACTTTGGCATTTTAAACTTGCTTTCCTGCCCCTGTAATTCTAAATCACCTTCTTGTGGCTTCACTTCAACACCAGGGTGTTTACCTTCCACATTCCCTTCTGGAAGAGAAACATCAACGTTTGGGACACTAACATCAACTTTAGACTCTTTAGAACCTTGCTTTGAAAATGAAAATCTGGGTAATGAGAACCTTGGCTTCTTCATTTTGGCATCTATGTCTGTGGAATGTGCCCCCTCCATTGAAATACCTGAGGTTTCTTTGATATCAATATCTGGAATATATACGTCTGTTTTGACCTCTGGTAGTGTAACGTCAACTTTTGGGGCATCAGCGTTAACATCAACCTCAGGTGCCTTAACGCTTGCCGTTGAAAAGGAAAATCTTGGCATTGTCCAAGTTGACTTTTTCAACTTGGCATCACCCTCTATTGTTTCAACATCAGGAAGTTTGACTTCAGCTTTTGATTCTCCTTTTATTTCAACTTGGGGGAGGTTGACTTCAGTTTTGGCTTCTGGTAGAGTCACATCTACAGCCTTCTTTGATAAGCTTATATCAATGTTCGGCCCTTTGATTTGAGGTCCAGAAAAACCAAGACTTGGCATTTTAAACTTGTTTCCTTTTCCTTCAGGTTCAGTTCCTTTTGTTTTAATATCTATTGATGGGCCTTCAGTTTCAATGTTGGGTGCTGCAATGTGAACTGAAAGAACCTCTTCAGGAATTGTAACGTCTGCTCCATTGATTTTGATGTCTCTGTCTTGCACTTTTACGGTAGCACTCGGAGTACCAACTCCAAATGTTGGTAATTTGAATGTTGGCATCTTATATTTTGATGGTGATCCTTCTTTTCCCTTTGTCGCAATCTTAATCTCTGGAGCTTTAATTTCCACTTCAGCAGATGGTTTTTTCAGTTTGACTACAGGGATTTTGACTTCAGCCTTTGATTCAGGTAGAGTTACATCTACATCTTTCTTTGATAAGCTTAAATCAATGTCAGGACGTTTGGTTTGAGTCCCAGAAAAACCAAGGCTTGGTAGTTTAAACTTGCTTTCTTTTCCTTCATGTTCACTTACTGTAGTTTTAATATCTATTGATGTGCCTTTAGTTTCAATGTTGGGTGCTGTAATGTGAACTGCAAGCACCTCTTCAGGAATTGTAATGTTGGATCCATCGATTTTGATGTCTGTGTCCGTATCGGGCAATGCCACAGTGGTACTTGGAAGACTAACTCCAAATTTTGGTAATTTGAATGATGGCATCTTGAATTTTGATGGTGACCCATCTTTACCCTTCGGCTCAACCTTAATCTCAGGACTTTTAATTTCAATTTCAGCAAGAGTTTCTTTTAATCCAACTTTAGAGAGTTCGACTTTAGGGAGTTTGACTTCAGCTTTTGTTTCTGGTAGTGTTACATCGACTTCCTTCTTTGAAAAGCTTAAATCAATGTCAGGACGTTTGATTTGAGGCCCGGAAAAACCAAAGCTTGGCACGTTAAACTTGGTTCCTTTTCCTTCATGTTCAGTTCCTGTAGTTTTAATATCAATTGCTGGGCCTTCATTGTCAATGCTGGGAGCTGTAATGTGAACTGAAAGCACCTCTTCAGGAATTATTATGTCAGATCCATCGATTTTTATGTCTGTGTCCGTATCGGGCAATGCCACAGTGGCACTCGGAAGACCAATGCCAAATTTTGGCAATTTGAATGATGGCATCTTAAATTTTGATGGTGATCCTTCTTTACCCTTTGGCTCAACCTTAATCTCAGGACTTTTCATTTCAATGTCAGCAGTTGTTTCTTTTAATCCAAATTGATGGGGTTTGACTTCAGCTTTTGCCTCTGGTAGTGTAACATCAACATCTTTCTTTGAAAAGCTTAAATCAATGTCAGGACGTTTGATTTGAGGCCCGGAAAAACCAAGGCTCGGTAGTTTAAACTTGCTTCCTTTCTCTCCATGTTCAGTTCCTGTCGTTTTAATATCTATTGATGGGCCTTCAGTGTCAATGCTTGGTGCTTGAATGTGAACTGCAAGCACCTGTTCAGGAATTTTAATGTCAGCTCCATCAATTTTGATTTCTTTGTCTGTATTCGGCACCTCTATGGCAGCACTTGAAGTACTAACTCCAAATTTGGGTAGTTTGAATGTTGGCATCTTAAATTTTGATGTCGATCCGTCTGATCCTTTCTTTACAACTTTGATCTCAGGACCTTTGAGTTCCACCTCAGCAGAAGGTTTTTTCAGTCCAACGTCAGGGAGTTTGACATCAGCTGTTGCTTCTGGTTTAGTCACATGTATGTCTTTCTGTGATAAGCTTAAATCCATATCAGGCAGTTTGATTTGAGGCCCAGAAAAACCAAGACTTGGTAGTTTAAAGTGGCTTCCTTTTTGCTCCTGTTGGGTTTCTGTTTTATCTACTGATGGAACTTTAGTTTCAATACTGGGCCCTGCAATGTCAACTGCTAGAACTTCTCCAGAAATTGTAATGTTAGTTCCATCAATTGTAATGTCTCTGTCCGTATCTGGTACTTCTACAGTAGCACTTGAAGTACCAACTCCAAATGTAGGTAATTTAAATGATGGCATCTTAAATCTTGATGGTGATCCTTCTGTACCCTTTTCTCCCATCTTGATCTGAGGACCTTTAATGTCTACCTGGGCCGAAGGTTCTTTCAAGCCAACATCAGGGAGGTTGACCTCAGCTTTGGCTGGTAGAGTCACATGCATATCTTTCTTTTCTAAACCTAAATCAAGGTCTGGCTGTTTAATTTGAGGCCCAGAAAAACCAAGGCTTGGTAGTTTAAACTTGCTTTCTTTCCCTTCAGTTTTGATAACTATGGATGGGTCTTCAGTGTCAACAATGGGTGCTGTAATATGAACTGCAAGCACTTCTTCAGGAATTGTAATGTCAGCCCCATCAATTCTGATGTCTTTGTCCTTTTCTGATACTTCCACAGAGGCACTCGGAATATTAACACCAAATGTTGGTAATTTGAACGTCGGCATCTTGAATTTTGATGGTGATCCTTCTTTATCCTTTGTTGCAACCTTGATCTCAGGAGCTTTGATTTCCACTTCAGGTTGTGTGATTTCAACACTGGCCAGGTTGATTTCAGCTTTGGATTTTGGTAATGTGACTTCTAAATCCTTCTTTGATAAACTTAAATCAAGCTCAGGTCCTTTAACTCTGGGCATTGAGATGCCAAACTTTGGCATTTTGAACTTGCTTCCCGATCTTTCAATGTCACTTTCTTTAGCTTTGATATCTACAGATAGGCCTTCAGTGTCAATGCTGGGTGCCGTGACATCAACTGTAGCTCCGTCAATGTGTAAATCCACATCAGGTTTGTCCACACTGACCTTTGAAGTAGCAGCTCCAAATGTGGGTACTGTAAATGTTGGCATTTTAGGTTTTGACAGTGATCCTTTAAAATCACCTATTTTTTTTCCGTCAATCTCATGAGCTTTAATTTCCACGGAAGCAGATGGTTGTTTTATTTTGATTTCTGGAAGTTGAACTTCAGCTTTGGCTTCTGGGAGCGTGATGTCTACATCTTTCTTTGATAAGCTCAAATCAATCTCAGTTCCTGTTACCTTTGGCATTGTGATTCCAAATGTCGACATTTTAAACTTGCTTCCCTTCCTGTCAACATCTGCTTCACATTCTGGTAGTTTTGTTTCAACTTCCCCTCCTTTCACTTCAACATTTCCTTCTGGAATTGCAACATTCACATCGTGAACGTTTGCATCAACTTCTGGGGCTTTAACACTTCCTTTTGAAAAAGAGAATCTGGGCATTGAAAACCTTCGCTTTTTCAATTTTGCATCAATCTCAACCTCTGGCTGTTGCTCTATCGCAACAGTGCCTAAAATATGTTTGACTTCAATCTCTGGCAGCCGGACCTCTGCTTTAACGTCTGGTGCATCAACATCTGTGTGGGGCACAGCTATGTGCAAGTCTGCGCCACCTATTTTGATTTCATTTTCTATGTCAGGTACTTCAGCGCTGAGATTTGGAGTGGCAGCCCCAAATTTAGGAAAATTAAATGTGGGCATTTTAAATTTTGAAGGTGACCCTTTCTTACTGCTTCCTTGAGCTTCAATTTCAGGTGCTTCGATTTCCACTTTAGCAGAAGGTTGTTTTAGTTCAACATCGGGGAGTTTGTTTTCTGGTACTGTGACTCTGAAATAGCTGAAATCAGTTTCAGATCCTTTTACTTTTGGCATTGATGTTCCAAACTTTGGCATGTTGAACTTGCTTCCTTGTCCATCCATTTCTGCTTCTCCCTCTGGTAGTTTCATGTCCACCGCGATTGTAGGAGCTCCTGAAAGTTCAACCTCCGCTTTAGCCTCCGGTATTGTCACATCTACGTCTTTCTTTAAGAAGCTTAAATCAATTTGAGGTCCTTTTACTTTTGGCATTTTCATTCCAAACTTCGGCATTTTAAACTTGCCATCTTGTACATCCATTTCTGCTTCACACTTTGGTGCTTTCATATCCACATCAATTATAGGAGCTTCTGGGAGATCAACTTCAGCTTTAGCCTCTGGTAGAGTCACGTCTACATCTTTCTTTGAAATGCTTAAGTCAATCTCAGGTCCTTTTACTTTTGGAAATGTGATTCCAAACTTCGGCATTTTGAACTTGCTTCCTTGCACATCCATTTCAGCTTCACACTCTGGCGCCTTAATATCCACATCAATTTTAGGAGCATCTGGGAGTTTAACTTCAGCTTTAGCCTCTGGCATCGTCGCATCTTTATCTTTCTTTGGAATGCTTAAATCAATTTGAGGTCCCTTTACTTTTGGCATTGAAATTCCAAACTTTGGCATTTTGAACTTGCTTCCTTTCCCATCCCTTTCTGACTCGTACTCTGGTGGTTTTATTTCCACAGCAATTTCAGGAGCTTCTGGGAGTTCAACCTTAGCTTTGGCCTCTGGTATTTTCACATCTATATTTGTCTTTGAGATGGTTGAATCAATCTCAGGTCCTTCAAAAGTTGGCATTGTGATTCCAAACTTTGGCATTTTGAACTTGCCTCTGTTTCCTTCGAGTTCAATTCCAGTCTGGGAAAGTTTTATTTCCTTTTCAGGTTTCTTTACTTCCACCTTTGCCTCTGGAATGAAAACCTCTGCTTTTTCAATACTGACATCCATTTTAGGGGCCTTTGGGAATTTGATTTCAGCTTTGGTCCCTGTAAATGTAATATCTGTGTCTTTCTTTGATAAGCTTGAGTCTACATATGGCCCTTTGACTCTAGGCATTTCAGCAGAAGGTAGTTTTGGTTTTACTTCAGGGAGGTTGAACTCAACTTTGGCTTCTGGTAGTGTGACATCTACATCTTTCTTTGATAAGCCTAGATGAAATGCAGGTCCTTTTACCTCTGGCATGGAAATTCCAAACTTTGGCATTTTGAACTTATATCCTTGTCCTTTAGGTTCGGTCTGCAAAGCTTTCATCTCAAGATCATTTTCTTTAACTTTGGCCTTTGCATCCGGCATCAAAATGTGTGCTTTTTCAAGACTGACATCAACTTTAGGGACATCCGAGTGTTTTACCTCAACTTTTGACTGGGGTAATGAGACATCAACGTCTTTCCCCGACAAGCTCAAGTCAAATTCTGGCCCTTTTACGTTTGGTATTTTGATTTGAAACTTTGGCATTTTGAACTTTTCTCTCTGTCCATCTAGTTCAACTTCACCAGGCAATAACTGCATTTCAGTTTCATGTTTTCTAACCTCCATCTTAACCTCTGGAATTGAAACGTCTACTTTTCCAACATCAACCCCTGGAAGTTTTACATCAGCTTTTGTCTCTGGTAATTTTACATCTACTTCTGTCTTTGGTAAGCTTAAATCACTTTTAGGTGCTTTCACTTTTGGCATAGAGAAATTAAGATGTGGCATTTTAAATTTGCTTCCTTTCCCGTCCTCTTCAGTTCCTGTAGTTTTCATATCTACTGAAGGGACTTCCGTTTTCCACGTTGGAAAAGAAACATCAGCTTTTCCAAGACTGACATCAATTTCAGGAGCATCAAGGACTTTTACTTCAGCCTTGGCTTCAGGAAGTGTCATATCTTGGTCTTTGTTTGATAAGCCAAAGTGAATTTCAGGTCCTTTTACTTTTGCGGTCGCGATTCCAAACTTTGGTTTCTTGAACTTGCTTCCTTGTCCATCAAGTTCACCTTCAGGCTGCCTTGGTTGGATTTCCACTTCAGGTTTTTTGACCTCCATCTTTCGCTCTTGTATAGAAGCCTCTACATTGATGTCAACCTCAGAAATGTCTTGGCGTTTAATCTCAGTTTTAGATTCTGGTAGTGTGACATCTACATCTTTTTTTGATAGGCTTAAATCAATTTTAGGACCTTTTATTTTTGGCATGGAGATGTCAACATTTGGCATTTTGAACTTGCCACTCTTTTCCTCTTTTTCAAGTATTTGTATCTCAGCCCCATCAATATTTATGTCCTTGTCTGCATCGGACACATTTTCGCTGATGATCAGAGTTGATGCTCCAAATTTGGGCAGTTTAAATGTGTGCTCAGCCTTTGGGCGTGCAGCATCAAGATTAACATCAAAACGTGTAAACCCAATGCCACTTTCATTTCTGGCTGGTGATCCTTCAGCTGAATCAATGTATTCAATGCCTTCAATTTCCGGTACTTTGACATCAGATGTGACTTCTCCAATCTTCGTACTTGTGTTTGTCTTTGATATTTGTACTTCTTGGAGGAATATAGTCCTTTCGTCTTTTACGTTGTCACCTTTTTGCTCAGAGATATTTTGTTTTGGAAAGTGAATTCCAACATCCGGGATTTTTATTTCTGGTTTTCCAATCCCAAAGCTCGGTATCTTTTTCTTTGCCTTCTTTGATTTGTCGTCTTGTGTTTCTTGTGTCAGAAGATTCACCACTTCTTGTTCACTTTCCTTTCCAGGGATTAGGATATGTTCTCTTTTATTTACCGCTTCGCCACTTTGTTTAGGCTCAGTTTTGTATTCCTTTTCAGTTTTTTTAAGATCTACCTTGGTCTCCATTACAAATTCCTCTGAAGTAAGATAAGATGGTGTGATCTTTGGGAGTTTGATTGTTGTTTTGGAGATTTCATGAGTGGCAGTGATGTCCGCCTTACTGAAGTGTGCGCCCTGTTTCGTTTTAGTCGGTGTTTTCACTGATATTCTCTGTGCATTTGCGTCTATAACAGTAATTTCTTCTGGAATAAGCATTCCACTTGTGTCAACCTTAGGCAGCTTAAATCCAGGCAATTTAGAAACTGCCTCTTTCACGCTGTCCACATCAATCAACATTTGTGCAGTTTCAGCTTGAATCTTTTCATAATGGCCTGTAAAAACAGCTTTAGGCACTTTAATTCCTTTGGCTGTGGTTCTCATAGACATGTCCTCCATACCTGGAATCTCAATATCTTCACGTTTTGGAAGTTTTGTTTTGGAAATACTTTTTGACAGTCGGTCATAAGGATCTACTTTCTCTTCTGTACCCTCAGTAGTAAGCTGCTCAGTTTTTGTTGTGCATTCTCCAACATTTACATCAACTTTTGCAATGTCATTAAAACCTATTTTAGGCATTTTAAATGTTGGACCTGTCTTTATTTCTTGTTTCTGTTTAATGTCCTTGCCTGTCTTAGTTTTTTCTTCAACTTTCTGTGGAGATTTTTGTATCAGTGTAACATCAGATACTTCAAGTTCCACCTTTGGTACATTTATTCCCTCTGATTTGGCTTGGATTACCCTTGAGCTATCACTGCTGATTATTTGGGTATTGGCATCAAGTGCTGGTTGATCTCCTTTTCTATTTTCAGATTGGTCTGCTGTTTCAATACTTGCCCCAAGCGTTTTCAGCCTTTTTGGTGATGATTTTGGCTTTGCATCCTTCTTGTGTGATTTATCCTTCCCCAAAATTTTCATTTTTAATTCAGACCGCTCTTTCTTCTTTTTCTTCCCATCAGGGGACTTGACACCAGAGGAGCTTTCTTCACCTGCTAGAGCCAAGGTTACATCTTCTGTTTTCAAAGTGCTATCTATAGTGATGAGTTCCACCTTGTGTTGAACAGTTTTAGGCTCTTTTTCCTCCCATCTTAAGTCTTCAAATACCTTTAGCTCCTCTGTCACATAGACCTGAGGTGATTCTCCTGAGGGACTTCCAAGGGTCTCAGGGGAAACCAACTGCGCAGTTGTTGGTGCATCTGTGTCCTGGTCTTCTGATGAACTTATGCGACCTCTCTTTGACAAAAGAGGAAGCTTTATTTTATGCTTCTTCTTGCCCTTCAGGGCATCCTGAGACTTTATAGGGGACTCAGTATCGCTTGTAGTGGGGCTAAGCTCAAGCTTTCTTTGCTCCTCAGCCTCTGAGGAGCTGTGAGACCTTGAAAAGCGAGACTTTTTTTTTCCTTTTCCAAAGGAGGGAAACTTAGGCCAAGAAATGCGGGCATCACTACGCCTTTTGGTTTTTCCATTCTCTCTCATCTCTGGAGCGTAGACATCTTCTTCCTGTTGAGCAATATAAATATGACATGTCAGTTTTATACCCAATACCTTTTTGTTATCACAAAGAATCTGACAACCTAAAAATAGTTACAGGGATGACGTCAGATTCGGTGACTGGTTCCGTCTCTGTGATGACTGGTGTGCGTTTCAAGCAGAGCTTTACTTTGTAAGCCTGAGCGTGCTCCAGAATCTGAATGGCGTCCTCGTATGACATGTTGTCAAAATAAACAGTGGCACTCAGAATTTGATCACCTGTGAAACAAGAGAAACATATTTCAGAAGAGCACAGACGAGAAGGCTATCAGTCAAAACCGTTTTATTAGAAAAAAACTGGGAAATATTCAAAATAATCAATTACAGTATGAGTCATTAGACTTTGCAACTTGCTCTTTAAGTTTCTTCAGTTCAATTCATGACATTTTTTAAGGATTACAATATTTGAAGTAGATATAAATAATAGTTAACATTTCAAAATTGAATAAACAACATACAATATTTATGAATACATTTTTACTCATTTATTGTAATTGAAAAAGAGAATGTCTCTATAATTGTTACCCTCTTTTAGTTTCAGATTTGAGGCAGGTGACTCTGGTACCACTTCTTTTATGAATATTCCCTCTCTCCCTCCTCCACCATAAACAAGACCCTCTGAACATCCATCTTGGGCTGTTTTCACCATCACCCCAGACTCAGGGCTGTGGTCTTCCTGTTAACACATCAAAACAGAGAGGATGCAACCGTTTTACCTTTAGCTGTTTAATGATCTGCTCCAACAGAGATACAGAGAGGACAACTTGGGAATGTCTCACCTTCAGTTTACTCATCTTTGGAGTTGAGCGCTTTTCAAACATGGACCCGAGCCCAGACTTTTTACTTTTCTTTCCACTCCCACTTTTGTGGTAATGGTCATGGTCTGCTTCGCACTGAAAGAAGAAAAAGCAGTACATTTAATTCTAACCAAACATTATTCTGGACATACTGTTGCAGTCTTGCAGTTTTTAATCAGGCAACACAATATCTGCTCTGAGAGGGAAGGGTAATATACTGTAAATACAAACGTGGCAGTAGCTAGGTCTGGATAATTATTGCAATGTGCAACATTCAACAAAACAGAAAGCCAATGTTACACCATACTCTTTTGACAGTACACAAACACTGATATGGCAACTGGTGTCATTGATATATTGTTTCCTTAAATTAACTGATTTTTGCAATCCATATTTATTAAATTAACTGCTTTGTGTAATCGATATACTGCTCCGCCTGATGCTTAGCAGGCTTTGTATACGAAGAGGCTATAGGTGGTTTTGTTTCCTAAGAGGCTGCATACACTTAAAGGTTTTGAAAAATGTAAAGTGCCAAAAGAAGATTTACCTGCATCAGAGATCTAGTTTTAATTTGCTAACAGAAGAACAGATTTTGGATAGATAACCCTTACAAGCTTGCTTCTTTTGGTCACACGATTATTTTTCCAACGTCATTTGTAGATGGCCTAAACAAAGTACTCTGTTGAATCAAAGATAGCCTTTTGAGTGACCAAGTGTGTTAATACCTATTATACCTATATAAGTAAACACGTAATAGTGTGCTCTCTGTAATAATCTGATTTCTAAAAGGTCATGTTAAAAAAGAAACTAATGTTCCCCAGTTGAGGAAGCCCAGTTATTTCAGCTGTTTATTTACATTTTATTATGTATTTATTATTACAGTGCATGTAACAGGTTCTCAGATGTATTCTCTTGACCTGGTTTCTCCCCGTTACTGCAGTTTCTGTCTCTGTATAAATGGTTGTGTGTCGATGATCTGTACCTCTTTGTCACTGTCGGTGTATTTTTCCGTTTCAGGATACTCCTCGACGGGGGACGACCCTTGAGGCCGTGGTCGCTCTCTCTCTGTGAACTGAGATGGCTCGTCACATGTCTGCGTGGACAGAAGGTCAGTTAGCACGAAAAACAGTCACATGGTTTATCCCCAAAGCAGTTGAATAATTTCAAAGAGATATTATGACATGAGTCAGTTTAGTCAGATTTTACTTCATCTGCCTAAAAGCATCTCCTCTTCTTTAACCACCAAGTAACATTTTTAATAACATTCATATAACTGAGCCTGCACAACTGTGTTGAGCAAACTGCATCAGGAAAAGTGTGATAACACCTTGCTCTGCCAAAGCCAGCATTGACTGGATGTTCTGCTCTTAAAACTTGTCACAATGGTAGTGTGTTGGCCGGTCTGTGATACCAACACCAGAGGAAAATATCTAAAAAATAAATGTTTTCATATTATTTGTTACAGATATTATGGTTGCCCAGAGCATTAACCCCAATGACTTTGGTTATCCTTTGAATTTTAACTTACACTTACGGGTAAAAAGGGTCATGTCAGGATATTTTGCAAACTAATAACTAAGCTGTAACAAATGTATTTATTTTTACATGCAAAGCTTCAATTTTCAATTTTCAAATGACCCTTTGATAGTCTTTCGCCAGACATAATGACGTCATCACCCTTAAAAATGTAATAAAACAAATACTTAAAAATGTTCAATTTGTGATGTTCGAAAAATAGCCTGCAAACATCAAAATGCTAACTTCTCAAATATTCCATTGTTTCATTAAGATGATAAATAGTGCACATATTACCTGTAGTCCTCTACCCTCCATGCATTCATATAGTTGGTTTTGTATTGTTTAATTTGAAAAGACAGGCAATACATACAGTTTTATATCAGCTAAATTATATAAGTAACCAACATGGATGTCTATGTCTCTTCTTATCAAAGTATTGTATGCTTATCAACTTATGGTTTTGAACAAAGGCCTTTTTATCAAGTAGTACAAGAAATGTAAGGTGTGCCCAATTTGAAAGGCTACAGTTTTGAACATGCTGGTGTTTTCTTGTCTAAAACAAATTTGAAGAAATAATCAGAAAGTCCTTATTCTTTATAAGTCACTCACTGAATCGTCCTCTGTACCAGGCTCTGGTGCTCTTAGCCTCCGACCAGCACCTGTTCATAAGAAAACACAGAGAATAGACAAAGCATAAATACCAAAAATAAATCTGACATGATAGAAAATGACTTAATTTGAATATATTAAACTTGTAATGGTATGTCAAATTCACTTTGTCAAAGCTATCTCAATCAGAGTTTTGTTCAAATAATGAATGAAAGCAATACAGGAACTGCGGCAAATGTAAATTGTCTGCTGTTTATCAAGACTTCCAGCCTGTGGCTCCTCCTAACAATTGTTTCCAGGCTCAGAGACAGAGAGAGACACTGGAGCCGATGATGAGACTATTTCGAGTTTCTTCCTGGCAATAATTCCCCCAGAGACCCACTGCCTCATTTGTCTGTTAAGTGATCCGCTGCATTGATCCACAGATAAGACTCAGCTCAGCCCTGATGGCTGCCGAAAAGGGAAAGTCTGACTCCAAATGGTTAGTCAGATTATTATTATAATTACCCGCTCTGATACCTGATCTCTAATAGATTTAAATTCATTTTGAACTGCTCTGTATCCTTCATTAATTTAATGTGAGGTTAATTCCATCAGGATACTACTAATGGAGGAAGAAGGTTTGTTAGTCTTTCAAATGTTCTCGATGAAAAAAAACAAGCAAATTCCCAAATGACAACGTTTGCATAAATCAATGCTTGATGATTGCAGGTAAACGCTGTTGCTCTTTCTTCCACATTGTCTGTGGTTTTAGATCCTCATTGGTTGATTTAGTTCATCATCATCAGGAGGCGAATGTTATGTTGTCGGTACAATTTACAGCGTTCTTACGGTCATTAAAAACCTGGAAAAGTCACGGAAATTCAAAATGCAAATTCCAGGTCCTGGAAAAGTTATTGAAAACAATATTTTTCCCAAAGTTTTGGAAAAGTCATGGAAATGTAACTAAAGTTTCATCAAATATAATTTATATTTGACCCAATCGCCGAAATAGTAATACTATAAGGATAATAAATACTGTATCGTATAGTAATGAAATGTAAAATGGCATTTAACTGTCGAGGTGTTTTGCTGGTGAGAGATTTTAATTGCTTTAGCGTGTAGAAGCTAGTAAGGCTTGATTTGTTTTTGATAGGCACAACATGTTTCATATGCAGACCTTTGTTCCTGTTCCATGTTAAAATAAACCATTTTCAGTGGTACCGCTGAGAAAGAGTACTTTTTTTTGGTCATGGAAAATTAGGTAAAGGTCATGGAGAAGTCATGGAAAATCATTGGTGAAAAAGTGTATGAACCCTGAATTTAGAATTTTATAAAATGTGGTTGCACTACACATGGAGAATCCAAT